AGTTGTGGGCTTGGACAGGTTATTGTAAGAAGAAAAAATATTTGTTACTTATTCCACTAACTATTTTTTGGGTTGTGTGGAACGAAAAAAATGTGAGAGCTTTTGAGGGTATCGAGACTAATATTACAAACATTAAAGATATGTGGATTTATACTTTTGGTTCTATTTTGTTAGATCATAACATTAGATATTGGGATGATTTTGGTTGGGTCATGAACCACTTAATAGACTTGTAATATATACTTTGTACATGGACGGTACTCTTTTGATACCTTTGTGAATAATATTTCTTATCTTATATTTCAAAAAAAAAATATTATTCGTCCAACCTAGTCTGTATTGTTGCTAATGCAGTTGTATTGGAAGATTGATTTGTCCAACTGTAGGAATTGAAATAAGATTCTTCCCACAATTCTCATGAATGACAAGTTTCTTACTTTTATTTTCACAACGGGCTAGAGTTTAAAATTTTGGAGAATGCTTCCGATCTTCCTTCTTGGTCGTGCTCGATTATACCAAGAAAGACTTCTCAAATTTACATTCTCCAAGCGATGACTCGTTTTCTTCTTTAGGATTCAACGTTTAAGATTTTTTTATCACACTTAACTTTGTGAAGAGAATTGCAATGATGATAAGAGCAGATAAAAATACCTAGGAATCATTATGAACTGCTGAAAACTGGTATAGAAGGGAAAAATTGATATGGGTGAATCAATTTGGTCAAACTGGTTAAAAAGGTCATAACAAAGAACAAATCTGTAGCGCCCACTTGCAGATCAGACGTGTGAGGTCGAACTTCCAGTGAAGTGCGAGCTTTGATCAATTAACTTAACTGTAGGTGGGGGTTGCAGATCAGGTAGCAGTGTGAAACATGACTATGCAGAAATATGGGATCAAGAGAGGCCGCATCTGGGAGTACTTGTGCTGGCAAAGTGGTGTGTTTTCAGTGGAGTTTTGTTGCGAGGCTTTCAGTTTTTGTCGATTGAGGTTTTCGGAGGTTGATGGTAGGGGCTCTGTTATTCACTACTGTGTGGTTGCTAGAATTATCGGCAGTTTTAGGACTTCTGTGTCTGTGTTTTGTTCCCAGATGAGTTCGGAACTAGTTGGATGTAGAGTTTTGAGATTTTAGAGTGTGGGGATTTCTTTAGCTCTGATATCAACTAATGTAGGACAAACTGGGAATAAATAATGTAGAGATTTGGGGTTAAAATCTTAGATGTCACTCCTATCAGACCTAGGGTTTTAGAGATTATATCTAACAAGTCTTGAATTTCATACTTGAAATATTGAGAAGTTATCAAAGCATGTTATTGAATAACTGAATGATGATCTTGAAAGGTCTTTAGGCAGTATCAAGTAAGTCTTTCTTGAGTACGGTTAGACTAATAAATATTAAGACTAGTAAGATTAGGAATATTGCTACTGAATAGGAAATATTAATACTAACAAAATTAGAAGTAATATTACTAGTACAAATAGGGAAAAATAAGTACTAATAAAATAAAATCTTGAAGTTACTAAAACTACAATAGTAAACTCCTTAATTGTGTAAAAGTTTTGTATTCAATAATTACGATTTGTAGTCTATTCTGCATCAAATCATGCTTTTTCTATCCATGTGTGTATGCACACTCCTGTAAGGACTTGACTTGCACATTTATTTAACAAATAATGCTTGCTACATTGAACTTAATGATGCGTTTTCCAACCTTATGCATTGGATGGGTCACTTGTACTCTGCAGATGAGGGTGAGGCCATAACCTGTACTGGCTTAGGCGTATAAATGTTAACTTTCATTTATTGACCCCTTATTGAAATGAATTATCAAAAATACTAATAAACCAAAACGAAGGGTCACAAAAAATTTCAGTTGTTTATCTACCCCCATTTAGCATGTAATTTAATCACTTATTTGGTGTAAAAATTTCACAGAAGCTTAATAAACAATTAATTTTATTTGTGTATTCTTTTTAGAATGAACTGATCTTTCTATTTCCTCTGTTTACCTATCAATCCATCTTAGTTCTCTTGTTTTAGATTTAATCTGCAAATGGCCAAAGGTAATGTGGCAAGATGCAAGTCGAGGACCCGATGTCACAAGGTGAAACCATATTTGTTGTCTTCTTGCTCCAAGAAAGCAGTTAAAAAAGGCGATTCGAAGAACAAATGCACTAAAGCTGTGGAGAAGAAAGATTGGGAAGGTGTCACCTGCTCTGTTTGTCTGGAGTCCCCTCACAATGCTGTGCTTCTCCTTTGTTCCTCTTATCACAAAGGATGCCGTCCTTATATGTGTGCCACCAGTTGCCGTTTCTCTAATTGCCTTGAACAATATAAAAAGGCTTACATGAAAGTAACATCAATTGAAAGAGTACAGCAATGGAACAGTTCAGCAGATAATTCAAATATGAGTTTTACAGGCATCACAGGCAATGAAAAGATGGAAGTGCCCGAGCTTTTATGCCCACTCTGTCGAGGCCAGGTGAAAGGTTGGACAGTTGTTGAAGCAGCTCGGAGGTATCTCAATTCCAAAAAGAGAGCTTGCATGCAGGAGAAGTGTTCATTTGTTGGATCCTACAAGGAGCTTAGGAATCATGTCAAGGCAAAGCACCCACTGGCACGACCAAGAGCTGTGGACCCTGCACTTGAAGAAAAATGGAAGAAGCTGGAGTGTGAAAGAGAGAGAAGTGATGTGATAAGTATGATTATGTCATCAACTCCTGGAGCACTAGTGTTCGGAGACTATGTGATTGAACCATTCCATGACATTTATGAAGATGAGTATGATTCAGAAGACTCTTTTGGTGATGATTATTTCCATCTAGAATCATTTGATCGAGCACAGAGTAGCATGCATTCACACAACCGATATCGCCACTATGATTTGAATGATGACAGTTTTGCCTATCATCACATTGTCCCTTCGTCTGTTTCTACACCCAGTTTTGACCCAGTGCTATTGGCAAGAAGCTCTGTTGCTGCACCCAATTTCCACCCGGTTTTGTTGGCAAGGAGACGATGGATGCGAAGAGGAGGTAACAGTGGTCAGTAATTCTCATACCTGGGCTTGATGAAAAAGGGGTTCCCAAACTCTTCCATAGCTAGGTGCTTTGCATATGTTTTCTGGTACTGGCATGATCAAATATATGCTGTCATCTGGTTTAGTTTAGTTTACTACAGTTTTTTGGATTCCATAGAATGTAGAAAAGCTAGTAAAGTGAGCATGGGTCGTAGAAGTTCTCATTCTTTTCAGCAGAATCAAAGCCCTTTTAGTTTTTAGTTCCTCATAGGTGTATGGACTAGGAATTTGAACGTCTAGTGGCCAGTTGAACAGAGAGAGAATGTTGAAAACATTCTTCTTTCTCCTTGACATTTTTTTCCATTGTCTTCTTTTGAATGATTCTCCATGAACTGTCATATCATGTACAGTTTTAAAAAAGGGTTTGGCACTTTGTAGGCAATTGATTAGATGTGTCCTAATTGCGGCCATGAGTTTGCAACTATCCATTTCAAACTTGGTGAGAGGATTATTATCTTGGTCATCCTTTTTCATGATTCTGTCTCTTGATAAGTGTTTCACTAAAGCAAGGGATGTCATGGTAATGCTCTTCAGTGATTAAAACCAAAGCCTTTCCTGGCCTAGTATGGTAAATTTCGCCTCTGTAGCACACAAAATGAAGTGCTAAATTTACGAATACTGTTTTCTTATGCTGATGTCGGCAATGTTGTAATGGTCCTTTTCTTCCAAAGAGTAGAAGATTGTTTTTTTTTTTTTTGAAAAAGACAAACAATACAGATCCTCATTATTCATTCGGTCATTGGATAAATTTCAATATCTTGAACGAGTAAAGAGCCTAACATTTTAAATATAAATATATGTATATATTTTTTGAGTTTTAACTCCTAGCTTTTCTTATTGCAAATTGCTTTCTTCTTTCAACATTTTTCATGTACGCATGAAAAGCTTTTTAGTCTCGGAATTTGAAGTTGCACTTTCATCCCATAGAACACTTCAAATTGGATCTATGGGATGAAAATATACAAATTTACTCCAAATGAGATTTTCTCAATAACTAAATAAAAGACGATT